ACTTGAACGACACTGCAGCCTCTTCCCCGCCTGTTGATATGGAAATAGATGATTCTACATCAAAGAATCCTTCTGAAAACCCGAGTGAACCAGAACCTGAGAAATCACCTGCTTGGGTTGAATGGAGAGAGACCTCTGAGTCCACTGCGCCTTCTTCCAAACCAGATGAAGCTACCATATTGCCCAACGGTGAGGTTCAAATCGACAGAGAGGATAACGGTGATGATGATACCGATAAAAAGAGTGCAGAGAATTCATCACCAGATGCAACAAGTGTCTCTGAAACCACAGAGAAGTCGCCAGATGCAACAATTGGCCTTCAAACCACTGAGAAGTCACCAGATGCAACTGAGACCTCACCAGACGAGAGCGTTGCTGAAATAACCGAGAACTTAAGAGGTTCTGGTCCTGATGCATCAAAACCAGCTGAATCGCATGATGAGGCTCAGAGCTCTGGACCTGCAAGCCCCCAGGAGACAAAGAAGATGGAGGAAACAGAGGTTGCAACGAAAGCAGATGCAAAAGAAACTGAAGAAGCAGTCAAGGAACCAGAGAAGAAGGTAGTGTGAGAGCTTTTACTCAACCTTGATAGTAAAAAATGAATTCATCCTTGATAGTTTGGGTTTAAGGGTACGACTTATTATTCTTATTTTTTCATTTCCTTGTTTGTTTACTTTTTCATTGTATCATCCGGTCTTTTTCCAACATTATTGTCGACCAAAATTCGTTACTAGCTTTTTCATATTTTACTAGTTCAAGTTTTTACCTCATCTAGACTTATCAAGTAGATATTTCATCTTCGATACCTCAGTGATCAAGTACGTTTGTAAGTTACTGCTGCAAAATCGTGTTAAGGGACTTGCGCATTTGCTTTCCGGGTGATACACAGAGAAATCGAGTGGAAGCCGTAATGAAGCATTCGACAAGTAGAATACCATTGTTCAGTAGCAGATCACTGTTCCAAAGATGGAGTCTGATATAGAGTTTACTACGGCTAAACATACGAAGCTCTATTGAATGTACATAATTTTGTACCACAGAGATGTGCAAACCAAAAGGGGACAAAGCATGGTCTACAAGAAAAACAAACACACGAAATTTCCAACGAAGAATCTACATATCATGAAAACTGAAAAGCATGTAAAAATGGAAACTCTTAAAGATCTTTATGCTATGAGCTTGAGTTATCACTTTGGTATTGGAAATGGCAAATTTCCATTGCAGAATCTTTGTATATACATCGGATATGGAAACTTGTTTCTTTTTTTTCGAATTTTGGATATGGAAACTTGAGTCAATAAATGCCATTATCTTATTATTGTAAAATTCTTGCTACTTATGGCAAGTTTGTAGATTCTCCCTCGTATATATTATACAACTTTCTTTTCTTCTTCTCCTTTGATATTCAGTTTAGGGTTTTCTCCTTCTTCTTCAATGGCTAACACAAACCAATCCGTCCGGGTACT